CCGTGGTTAGGGAACTTGTTGTCGCAACAGTGCTACCTACCAGGGTTGTTGGCTTTGTTGCGATTCACGCATGAATACAGAACAGTTTATAAGCCGAAACCACAGACGGACATAAATAGCGTGTGGCGGCCGTGGGTGTGGAGCTTGTTTTCGCAACAGCGCTACTTACCAGGGCTGTTGCCATTGTTGCGATTCACGCATGGAAGGCATAAGAGTATGAAAGCCGGAACAACACAAACGAATAGTCTGCGGCGGTGTTGGTGGGTGGGCTTATTTTCGCAACAGCGCTACTTACCAGGGTTGTTGCCTTTGTGGCGGTTCACGCCTGAGTACACAAGGGCATGAAAGCCGAAATTACCCACGTAAATTGTGTGTGGTGTCCGTGATTAGGGAGCTTGTTGTCGCAACAGTGGTACCTACCAGTGTTGTTGCCATTGTTGCGATTCACGCATGAATACAGAAGAGTTTGGAACCGAAACCACAGACGGACATAAATAGCGTGTGGCGGCCGTGGGTGGGGAGCTTGTTTTCGCAACAGCGCTACTTACCAGGGCTGTTGCCATTGTTGCGATTCACGCATGGAAGGCATAAGAGTATGAAAGCCGGAACAACACAAACGAATAGTCTGCGGCGGCGTTGGTGGGTGGGCTTGTTTTTGCAACAGCGCTACTTTCCAGGGTTGTTGCCTTTGTGGCGGTTCACGCCTGAGTACACAAGAGCATGAAAGCCGAAACCACCCACGTTAAATGTGTGTGGTGGCTTATAGTTTATACTTGTAGCAATGCCAAGTTGTTGTAGGATTGTGTGGTACGTGAAGTATATTTCTAGGGTGTGTAAGGTACCCCTGTTTTATACTGCGTCGCCCCCTCATGGTGGTGCGTGCACGCGTGCGTTAAGTTCGTGTGAGTTCATGTGAGTTAATATGAAGGAGAAGTTTATGCAACAAACCCTACACGTCGTTCCTCCTTGGCGGGAGTTGGCCGAGTTGCTGACACCCTATTCAACACACGTCTTGCGACAAGCTACCCCCAGTTCGGATCATCCTAAGACGCTACCGTGCTGATATCATACGGGATCCCGAGGTGAGGTTAGCTACAAAAGGGTTCGGCTAGAGAAGTAGATTATGGAGGAAGCCCCCGACCTCAGCAGCTATACTGAAGAGGATCGCCAAGCATTAGCGGCGCACATCAAAGAGGAGGTGGAGAAGAAAGTACAACAGAAGATGAAAGAACAAGAAGAAAAGCGTCCCGCTTCAGAGAGCGTGGACATGCCCCCCGATGGAGGCGATCCCCGGCATGCTCGGCCGGCTGGAACAGCGTTGAACCCGCAACCTGAAGACCAGCCACGATCGTTGGAGGACGGTCTCGTTGATTTGTTCGCACGGGCAATGCGAAGCACCAACACCCCGGGGGAGGAAACCAGGGAAGTCGTAACCCCTAAGGACACCATCCGTGTCAGCCCTGTAATACAAGTAGCCCCATTTACGGGTGTGTTAGATTCCAGCGGCGATGTTCAAGTAAGGGTACAGGTGTTTGAGAGCCAATTTCGAATGCTGTGGCAACTAGACGATTGCCTGAATGCAATAGTATCAGAAGAGACAATCAGGGTGGGGAAGTCGGATGCAGACATTCCCAAACTGAAGGAGGAGTATGGTAGGAAGGCCATCGAGAAGGCCATGAAGGCCTGGGAGTTAATACTGGCAAAGATTCAAGTTGCATCGATCGTACCAGCAATCATCTCTAGTGGTTGCCCAACGGAGTCATGGCGAATATTCCGAAATCATTTTCAATTGCATGCCCACACAGAAAGGACGAGCCTTCAGCTAGAGTGGCAGGAGTTGACGCAAGGGGTTCAACATCACCCGAAAGAGTACCTGTCGAGAGGGTGGGTGCTGAGGCAAAGGCTATCATCTTGGGGAGTGAAAATTACAGAGGATGATGCTAACAGACATCTTGTGCGCAACCTCCTCCCCGAATATGTTGTCTACACAGGTTTTCTGATGTCCGAGAGCGGTCTAGAGAAGGAGAGAGTAGAACGGATTATAGTGAATGCTTGGGCGGAGATGGAGGCGCGAAGGAAGAAGAAGCAGGAGAGCGTGGGGGCTCATGCCCTCGTCACTGGCGGTGAGAACCGTAGTGGCGGGGGAGGGAACACGGGGGGACCGGGGAAGACGAGAGGACAACGGAGGATGGCAGCGCGGCAACAGAAGCAACAACCGCAGCAGCCACAGCATCAGCATCAGCCGTACTTCAACCAGTAGCAACAGGTATACCGGCCGTCGTACCCGCCTGAAATAAAATATTGTGACCTCCACAACTCCCCGTCCCACAGCAACGAGGAATGTCGCTTGCAGCGGGGTTGGGGAGGTCCCTCGGGCGGCCAAGGTGCGAGCTACGGCGGAAGGCACGGGCCCCAGCATGGGGGCCGGGGCTTTTCTGGAGGAGGACGTCATCAGCAGCAGCCGGCAGGAGGAAGATTCGGGGGACGTGGCGCCGCTTCCGGTGGGAGGGGCAGGGGCCCTTTTCACCAGGGATCGCCCGGCAGCAACCTCCCCGCCTACCCTGTACCTCAGCAAGGCTACGACTACAGCACCTACCCCCCCAACATGTACCGCCCACAGGGAAATGAACCTCCCATCCACCCGAATGACCCTCGCAAGCGGTGTGAGAACTGCGGTGAACTCGGCCACAACCACCTGTTCTGCCCTTCGCGTGTTGATGTCGGAAGGCCAGCTGGCATGCCGGCAGGCAACGCGCCGCCCAGGCACCCGCCGCCCCGGCCGCCGGCCGGTGGTTACAGCCAGCAGCCGCCTTGGGCACACTCGTATGGGCAGGCAAATACGGCGCAGCAATACGGCGGAGAGGGTTACCCGGGGGTAGCGCCAGGAGCAGCAGGAGCGACGGCGGTGGCGACGACAGCTCCATCTACAGGGGCGCATGCGGTGACGCACGTGAGCGGCGTTTACCAAAATCCGGTGACGCACGCGAGCGGCGTTTACCATTACTCGCCCCAACAGCAGCAGCCGGAGTACCTTTCCCCCCCCGTGCAACAGCAGCAGCCCATCTCCAACCCGTACGCTCCTCCGGCGCCTTCGACCGGAGCGTCTCCATCGACTGGTGGGGATTTACATGCGTGTGTGGTGTGGGCTTTTCCAAGTGAGTCTGAGAATGGTGTGCTAGTAGAGCGAAGGGACGACGGATATGCAATGATGAACGTCCTTGATGAGAGTGTAGGAGATGAAACTTGGCTTGCAGACTCTGGCGCCACGAACCACACCGCAGGTGACCCGAGGTGCATGTACGATGTGGTGATTCCTCTGCCTGGTAGAGAGCGAGTGATGATTGGAGATGGTAGGACGATGCCTGTGCTTGGTATCGGTAGCCTGAATGTCAAGTTCCACAATGGTGGAAGCGATTTTTGCATGAAGCTCACCAACGTGCAGCACGTTGAGGGAATGGGCTACAATTTTTTTTTCGCTCCACAAGGCCATGGGAGGGCAACGAATTAAGATGGATCCTATAGGTATCCACCTGTTTATGGGTGAATTAACTTTTCCCCGTGGCGAGCGCGGTTCATCCTTGAGAGCGACCCGTCTACCGCCCGATTACACGACGCCAATTGCTGTGCCCGTGATGACGCCGTTACCTCCGCCTCCCCCTCGCTCTGGAGACGTTGTGAGTGTGACTGGTGTTGCAACAATGCATGCAATCCCCCGCATGCAGCATTCTCCCCAAGGTGTAGCGTACATGCCCTCTTCCTCGTTTTCTCGTGTCCCGCCCACTGTCACCAGCGCCGGCAGTGTAGTGCCTCCAACGGTGTCTAGATTCCCGCCCACTGTCAGCAGTGTCGTGCTTCTATCCGCTCCGACGAGCGTTGTGCCGACCCTCGTCTCTGGTTTCCCGCCCGCTCCCAACAGCGTAGTACATTCTGGTGAC